GGGATAATGAGATAATGTTCAAAATGGCTTTTAAGTGTCTACCTATAGAGGTTGAAGGTGAAAAAAGAACATTGTGATGTCTGTGAATACCCCCTCCCAGGAGGGAAGGCTACTCGCGTTGTTCCCAGTGGAATGTTCTGTTCAATCAGGGGCCGTCACTTGAGTGGTTTGATAAATAATAAGCTTAGATTGACTGCAGATAAAAATGGGAAAGGTTGATTAAGTCATTTAGTTCCTTGACAATTTTGCAAACCAAGCAATTTCTGTAAGGATCAGACTTAGACCGTGTAGTACACCGTCCAATCAAACCACCAAGGTTCTGGGTTCCACCTACCGCCCCTTCCCCCAGAAAAGATCGCAAGATTTCTACTATTTTCTCTGAAAATTGATATCAAATTTCCTTCATCTAAATGTATGCTACTATTATTAATGATTCCCAAGTGGTCTCTAATACCTCTTTTATCCTTCTTAGTTGAAAACATGCTAAAATACACCCAGGTAATAGAAACACCCATGGTTGTCAGCTGGTTAATTCATTAATCAGTTAAATTCATTGTGTAGCTTGACAGATATAAGACTCTTTCTAAGCAGAATATTAAAACTCTATCTTAATGTCCAAATACATGAATATAGAAGATAATTAGAAAGGAAACAGTGATTTAAATAAAAACTCCAAATATAAACTTCCTGGGACAAGTTCAGGAAGAGAACAGGAATTTTTTTCCCTGTAGTTTCTCTCTAGAATTGGCTTCCCACTCCTATTTAAAGCAGCCCCCAATAATCCTATTTAAATCACACAGTGTATCTAAATGTGCAAAGAAATAAATATAGAAGCAATTATTTATTCATAGCAACAATATATTATGAGTGTCTAATGTTTTACAGTTTCCAGAGTGTTTAAACTCACTCTTTTTAGTAATATCTGCTTATTTCCATCCAGGTTTAAAAAATGATCTGTGTAATTGTTTCACCTTTATAATAGGACTCATCTTTCATTCATGTAATACTTGTTTGATTCGTGTGTATTTGAAAATTTAAAAAGTAGATGACTTTTAAGGGTACCCATGAAGTTCAGATTCCAGGGTTTTGCATAAACACTGCCATAGGCACGCACATGGACACGTACACACACGTATATCCACTTTGCTTCTTTATCTTTGTCTTGGCTGGTATTCCTGGTCAGAAATTACTTTTCTCTCAAATCCCCCTTGATAACTCAGATTATATGTGATTGCTTTCAATGGTTGCCCACCATTAAGGAGTTTTCCTTTTCTTTCTTTTTTTAAAAAAATATTTATTTATTTGGCTGTGCCGGGTCTTCCTTGCAGCACGTGGGATCTTTTGCCGCGGCAGTCTTTGCGGCGTGCAAGCTCTTCGTTGTGGCACACAGGCTTCTCTCTAGTTGTGGCGTGAGGGCTCCAGAGCACATGGGCTCTGTAGTTTGTGGCATGCGGGCCCTCTCGTTGAGGCCTGCGGGCTCAGTAGTTGTGGCACGCAGGCTTAGTTGCCCCGCGGCACATGGGATCTTAGTTCTGCAACCAGGGATCTAACCCGCGTCCCCTGCATTGGAAGGAGGATCCTTTACCACTGGACCACCAGGGAAGTCCCAAGGAATTTTCTTTAAAGGCCAAGAGGCTGGATAGAAAAAAAGATGAATCAGAGAAAGGCAAAAAAAAAAAAAAAATTGAAGAAAACGTACTTGGGTAAAAGAGGGAAAAGCAAATGACATCTCTTTTAGTTATATGGGTGTTACCAAAACTTGTGCCTTTCTCCACTATGTATAATTTAAGCTCCATGTGAATTCTCAGTACTTTGGAATAGATTTTGGAGTAAATTTTCTTGTTCTGATTCACCTTAAATATAGATCACTATTTGAAAAAATAATAAGTGATAACTTATTTTTTCAAGTAAACAGGGTCAGAGGAATTGACCATAGGGAACCTCAAAAAAGAAGCAGGGGAGAGGGGAATTTGCAGGGTGAAATGAAAGTGTTTGATAGGAACAAAAACATAAGCTTGCGATGACTAAATCACAGAACTTGAGTGATGAAGGGAACCTCAGCTCATCTTTAATTTCTTTGTCTCTGCATCTTGGGTAGTTACATGCACATAAAGGAGCCTCCAATGAAAATGTCTTCACAGTCATATTTTATCACTGTTGTGCCCCCCTATCCCCTCATTCCAGCCACACAGGCCTTTCTTTACTCCCCCAAACATTCAAGTTTCCCCTCCTGTATCAAGGCCTTTGCAATTGTTCTACTTTGTTGAAAAAGTCACCAGAAACAGCATTGATCTAGAACATGTTTGGTCTGCCAGGACAACCCATGATACAGCTGGTTCTACAGATGTGGAGTGTGACACACAGCATCCTAGCAGGGTCACTCCAGTGGGACACTGGAACACGCTGTCAAGGAGAGTGCAAGGCAAAGTGATGGCGTGCCACTGAGGAGTGAATCTCAGTAACAGCCAAGCATCTAGAGGAGGCATCGAAAGAGAAGTGGTCATGGAAATGGGATGTATCAGCTTAGGGCAATGTCTTAGGAGACAAAGAAAGAAATGTTTTAAGAAGACAGATACAACCAGTATTGGACATGGTACTAAGCACAGGGCTGGCAGGTAGAAAAACACTTCATGGTGCCATTCATTCATCCATTCTTTAATCCAGCCATTCATTCTACAGATATGCATGTGTAGCTAAGTGGCAGGTGCTCATCACGAAGAAGTAAACAAAACAAACACAGTCCTGGGCTTCCCTGGTGGCGCAGTGGTTGGGAGTCCGCCTGCCGATGCAGGGGACGCGGGTTCGTGCCCTGGTCCGGGAAGATCCCACATGCAGCGGAGTGGCTGGGCCTGTGAGCCATGGCCGCTGAGCCTGTGCGTCCGGAGCCTGTGCTCAGCAACGGGAGAGGCCGCGGCAGTGAGAGGCCCGTGTACCGCAAAAAACAAACCAACAAAAACACAGTCCCTGCTCCATCCTAAAGCTTATATTCTGAGGGAAGCGGGAGTGGGGTGAGGAGAGACAAGAAACAAATTCAAAATAAATATATAATATAATATCAGGTGGCAATAAATGCTATGGATAAAGCAAAGCAAATTAAGGAGATAGAAAGATCAGATGGTACTACTTTGGGTAGGGCAGGCAGGGAAACCGCTCTTTGGGAGGATATTTCAGTGTAGAACAGAATGAAGTGAGGCATGAGATGCTAGCGTTTGTGATGATGGATGAGATGCTCTGCTGCTGAAGAGTTGAAGAGGGTGGCATGAACGGTACCAAGGGATGAGAGAGTTATAAGAAGGAGAAAACTGTCAACAATTCAAATGCATTGAGATGTCAAAGTAAAGGAGAGGGAAGTGTTCATTGGATTGTTGGGTTTGACCATTAAAGAGGTTAGTAATCCTGAAGAGAACAGTGGCAGTGACTTGTTTGGGAGACAAACTGCAGATGACGAAGGAGTAAGAGGGTAATAGGAAATGGATAGAGGGGAGATATTTTGAAAAAGTCTAGTGATGAAGGAGAGTGGTTAGGGGAGTAGCTAGATACAAAATGATATAAAACTAGTTTTTTGTGTTTTTTTTTCCCCTCTAGACCAGGGTTTCTCAACCTTGGCACCATGGACATTTGGGGCAGACGATTCTTTGTTATGGGAGCTGGTGAGGGGACTGCCCTATGCATTGTAGGATGTTCAATAACATCCCTGGCCTTTACCTACTAGATGACAGTATCACCCCCTCCACCCAGTTTTAACAACCAGAATTATCTCTAGACATTGCTAAATGTCCCCTGGTTAAGTCACCCCCACTTGAGAACAGATGCTTTAGACCAAGATGACCTGTGTTGTTTGAAATGATGGAGAAAGAGCCCCTGGAGAGGGAGTGAGAAAAGAGATTGAAAACGAAGGGCCTTAATGTGAGGAGCCACGGTCAGGAAGTTCAGCTCGTCCGCCCTGCAGAAAAAGCAGAACTATAGGGACTATTAGTCAATGCTGTGTTTTATGAGTTTAGGAACAAATGTTGTTACTCCAAATTAAGAAGGGAGCATTCAAGCTTAAAATTAGAAAAGAAAAAATATATTTGTTGTAACAATTTGGAAACCAGCATGCAAACTTTCAAGGAAAAGCAGTATTATTAAAAAAGAGGCACCATCAGTTATCCTTTTACGTTTTAGTAGGATTAAGACAAATGAGCACACAGTTTGAGTTGGAGAGTAGATCACGTGATTCACAAATTGCCCCTTAGCCTGGGAAGTCCTTAACTTGGGATTGAAGACAGATGTTTCTGATGTGACTCATGTATTTTTACCACTTTCTCATGGGCACAGACCGAGTTTATTCCTTTCTGTGTCCTGGTGATGTCAGTGTCTTGTTTACACAGGATGAGCCAGCCTAAGTCAAAACTAGCCCTAAGTCATGTGGTGTATGGTAAAAATACAGAGGCGGGTTTCTCTTTAGACAGAATATAGTTGCAGGCTCTAGGGGAATAGACTCGATTTCTGGGTTGAATACATGAACTTTAGATATTTGGGAATGTTCTAGAATAACAGAATTTCAGAGTAGAGAAAGATTGTCACAGTTACCTCCACAAACATTTTACCATTTCTCAAGGTGGTCTTTCAAGTATTGCACATTAAAAATACACAAAAGTTGTCTCCTAGGGACAGAACAAATGCGAATATACTACTTTGCAATTAAGTATTTTCCCCCCTAAGTTAAAATCAAATGTTCATCTATACCTGAAAAGACAACTGGCATTTACTGAAAACATACTATATTAGAGAGAACTACTATAGTTATTTTATGATGTGATCTCCTTAAAGCCTCATGACAATTTAGTGAGCCAGGTATTATTCCCATGGGCAAGCAAGAAAAACTAGCAATCATGCAGAAAATGATACTGCAAAACCTAACAGTGTAGAAACAGCTGTTTTATGTCCAGAGTTGATTTGGACATTCCTCCCCCAATGATTTTTACCTGTCTGATGAGATCTCAACTTCTTTTTAACAGTAAATACACAAATTGAACTACTTTGGAACTGATATTCAGCAATTGAGTTCATCCAGCCAGACTCTGGTCAGTAGAGCTGAGTTAGCAGACGTGATTTCGGTTCCCCACGTCCTGTGTAACAGAGCACCCTTCAGCCTCTCCTGGCAGACCTCTCTAGCAACACACTCTGGAAATGATCCCTTGAGGCTCCTATCAGATGTCATGAAGAGGTAAGTTTCTTTGAGATTTAAATTATGGGGCTTCCCTGGTGGCGCAGTGGTTGAGAGTCCGCCTGCCGATGCAGGGGACGCGGGTTCGTGCCCCGGTCCAGGAATATCCCACATGCCGCGGAGCGGCTGGGCCCGTGAGCCATGTCCCTTGAGCCTGCGCGTCCGGAGCCTGTGCTCCGCAACGGGAGAGGCCACAGCAGCGAGAGGCCCGCGTACTGCAAAAAATAAATCATGGACTTGGGTTTGGCCATTGACCTCCATATGAGAAGATAGTTACGATCTTTTAATTGAGTATAGTTTTTGTAAGCAAGCTTGTGTTGCAAGATTTGTTGGAATCTATTACATCTAAAAGAAAAAAAACCCTCAGAAAATCATTAGTTTCTAATAAGTAACTTATTTCAATTATAAGGACCCTTTCTGGTAGTTCTGGTCTAATCTGTGTATTTTCTTAACTTTCACAGTAACTGTTACCATGTACTTGCTATACTATATATATATATATATATATATATATATATATATACACACACATATATATATACATCTTCTGCTCTTAATGTTTTGTTTGTTTGCTTGCTGCCTTTTCATTTGGCTCTTAAGAGCCCCCATAACCCACAATAACTTGCAGACTCTATTTAGCCCTGGGGGAAAAAAAGAGCATCTCTGATAAGCATCACTTCTCCCAAATATTATAAAGGGATACACTGAAGTGACTTAAAAAAAAAAAAGAAAGAAATCTGTGGATGTAAGCTTCAGGATATGCAGTGTAAAAGCATCCCAGGAGTCTTTAATCCAGCATCTCACCCAACTGAACAAGGGATCTCTTCCCAATGTGCCTGCAGATGAAATGATTGGGAAGGCGCAGTTGGGTGGGCCGGTGGGGAAAGATAGATGAGTGGCCTCTGTGTATGTGAGGCAGTCAGCGAGAGAGGCAAATCCCTCCCCCTACTCCCATGGCTGTGTGTGCCACTCTTCCTCTGTACAGAGACAATTTGCTTTTCATGTAGTAATGAAGAACAATGTTAACAGACAAAGGAGCTTCTAGTTTATTATTGTGCTGTCTTTGACTAGAGCTCGATGCTGGGAAAAATGGTAATTCACAGTGTGAATGCTTCTTTTCCAGCCTTACGGGTTATGGCTGAGCATGTACATTGTATATTGCAGATGGTACAATAGAGAACACTGTGAGAACGAGGAAAGAATGAATTACAGCTTTTTTTTCCCCCTTGCTGCCAAGAAACCAGGAATTTCTTCACAATGATTTTTATTTATGACTGTGTGTATATGGGTTATTCCTGAGCAATATACACCGCTGGATTCTGATAAATCATTCTGATAAATGATTTTAGGTTTTAGTGTTTTTAAATTAATGTATAAAATCTACCAAGATGCTCTTAGAACACCTGTGTTCTGCTTTTTCCCCCCAGTAAACTGATACAAGGCACAGGTGGTGCCTCATTAACTTATTTCATGCAAATAAAAACATATTGCATGATTTCTTCTCCTTAACTATATAATCACTGAAACATGATCGCGCTGATTAATGCAACAAACTTTGGGAGGGAAGCATTCAGCATCTTTTGTCGGTTCTCTTATGCTGAAGGGATTTGCAGACCTTGGAAATCTGATTTAAATGGAAAAGTAGTGGGAATGTCTCTTTCCTATGTAAGAAATATGTTTTCCTCTAGTCTTTTCTGTATGTCATAGGGCCCTCCGCGATATAAAATTGGAAAAAAAATTTCCAAATTTCCCATGGAGGTAGAGGAATTGGGAGCCCAGATGAAGACCCATCTCAAATAAGCATGCTTAGGTGTCTTGATTCAGTGTTCAGATGTTCTTATCGATGATTTCCAGAAAGTGACATTGATTTGCTTTGGAAACAATGATGGAAAAATAGTGAATGTGTACTGGAATGCTTTTAGAGCTCTAAAATCATACTGGAAAATGTCCGAGCATTCCAACCCAACTATAAACAGTACCATGCTGTATTTATGGGGGATGGCAAGTCTGTTTTTAAAAGTCTTTTGCAATATTATTTCTGTTTTTAATTTATTGAATTAAAGCCAGATTTATTCATTAAGATAATACACTTCAAGGTTAACTGCCATTTGCTGTTCATTTAGGCAAGCTATTGTACAGTTATGTAAATTTCATGAACAGAGACACTACTTAAGTGTCTTAATTACAAGCAAAAAGTGTCATTTAAATATGAATTAAGTGAATAGTTGCCAGTATTTCCTGTTCCTGTATTTTCTATCTTCTTAAAATCTAAGGGCTACCCTATGATCTGTACTGTGTCCTAAGATTCTTTTGCCTGTAAAAGAAAAACACCCCTACTACGAAATATTATTTTTAAAGGTAGGAAAACATGCAAAAAATGCCATCATCTCATTGATAATGAATCAGAGAAATATCTAAATAAGAAGGTGACCATTTTTTCCAGTTGGCCCCTGACAGTCATTTTCACATTGTTACTGAAATTAAAAAAAAAATATTCCATCTTATACTAGGGGGGATAATTTGCTACATGTGTCATTTGCTCAAATTCACCCTACATGTGAATTCGTATTTTTTAAAATACCCTCTTTTAAATCTACCCATTTATAATGCATCCAAACATTCAGTTTTCCGACTCAGACAGTGGGATGAGCATACTTTTACCACCGCTTTAAGTTTGTTGAAAGAAACCGTTATTTTAAACTGAGAACTGTCACAACTATAGTTGTGGTTAGCGAAAGTGACCCATAACCTGATACTCTGCCTATTTCTGTGAAATAATTCCCTATGCATGTCGGACTTAACTGACAAATACTGTTTTTGTTTCTCGCTGTGTTTTTGGATAGTTCTTGTGTATAAAAATGATCTAGAGACCAATCTGGCATTAATCACGATGCGGAAGGGAAGGAGTCACAATTAGTTAATGAAAACCACACCTCAGTTCTGTGCAGCCCGTTCGCAGCTCCTGTCCGGAGCCAGAAGGCTGCAGGCTGGGAAGATATTCCCAGCCGCCCCTGAAGGTAGCTCCTGCTTGCTCCCCCAGGAGTGAGAAGTTCACTATTCACTCAATGCTTGCATCATCCCTTCCAACATGTTCCCACTGATACATTAAAGGAATTAATTGCTCATAATGATCTCACCATCTGTTAACAGAGGTTCATACCTACAGGCTGGTGGCATGCGGTGGTTCTATTCAGGGATCAATAGGCAATGCCGGGCAGACGCTTTCCCACATTGCCTGCCTTTGCGCGCTGAAAGGGGAGGAGAGCTCGGTGCCGGCCATCTGCTCCTTGTCTTTCTGTGCGAGACCTTGATGCGGTCCAGCACAGCTCTGATCTGACTCCAGTCCGATTGGAATGTGGCTGATCTGAGAGCCTCTCAAAGCTGTGAAAGTGAGTCAAAAGGAGATGCCCATTGTCCGGCAGGGCTGAAAGAAAATGATCACTTTAAAATTCATAACTCCCAGGTGCCTGCCATCTATTCATGGGAAAAACCCTCTGAACTTCTCTTCATTAAAGAGAGAGAGGGGAGTCTTGCTAAAAAGAGAGAAAAGGAAGTAGTTTGTGGGAATGTGCAGGGGATTTTCAGGCTAAACAAATGAGGAATTTGGAATTTTTTCACTTGTATCAAAAGGGCTGTATAGGGAAGGGGAAGTTCTTATTTTAAAAAAAGGGGAGTGGGGAATCCCTTCCTGGGGCACTGTAGCAACTAATAAAGAACATTTTAATTTTTCTCCGGGAAAATTCAAAGATCACCCTGCCCTTTTACTTTTATTACCTGAAACTGAGAAAAAAAAAATTCCTTTTTGATTCTAGACAACATTCCTAGTTGATTTCCATTCTTATTCCAGTGGGGTGAAATTTGGGTGGGAATTTAGGGAAGAATGAGAGTCTGGGAAATTCCTGAATATGGTACAAGACATCAGTGCACACGATGAAACTCAAATCTACCAGGTGTTTCTAAGGAGGAGTTTATTCAGCAGGGTTACCTGTACCCACCAAGTTATCTGTCAGGAGCAGAGTTCTCGCTGAGCCTTGATCAACAGAAGAGCCATGAAGACATAGTAAAGAACAAACTTTAAATCTCTCTGCCTAGGCAACTGAAGATTCAACTGAGTTCCAGAACTGCGGGAACCACAGGATGGGTGGATCAACTACTCTTGGTTATTGGTCATCGTAGAAAATTGATGTTGCCTCAGAGCCACGTAGGAATTCAAAGAGGATCTGTGGATTGATGAATTGAGAGTCAAACAAAAGTATAAACAGAAAGACCTAAGTTCTGTCTCTTGAAAATCTTTTATCTTACAGATACTGACTTAAAGCCCCTAGAGGTTAAGTGACATATGCTCTAAGTCACATGTAGTCATAGAATCTGGGCTACAGCCTTACCTGATGGCAATTTTCTTTCTACTGCTTCACGCTACCTCCCTTGATGGGGAGAGTTTTAAATTATTTTTGCTCAACTTTCCCTAATTAAAATATAGATCAGTATTGCCAACCTAAATAATGTAATAGTTCCTTTTAAAATAAACCCTGAGGGCTTCCCTGGTGGCGCAGTGGTTGAGAGTCCGCCTGCTGATGCAGGGGACACGGGTTCGTGCCCCGGTCCGGGAAGATCCCACATGCTGCGGAGCGGCTGGGCCCGCGAGCCATGGCCGCTGAGCCTGGGCGCATCCGCAACGGGAGAGGCCACAACAGTGAGAGGCCTGCGTACCACAAAATAAATAAATAAATAAATAAATAAATTAAATAATTAATTAATAAAAATAAAATAAACCCTGAGCTCTTAGGAAGATGACGAATACCAATATTCATCACCAATACATACAGAATAGAATATTGATCAAACGAGGCCCTACTATCATACAGAAAGTATTGTAATAGAAGTGGCAGAACCTACTGGTGAAACAGGGTAGTAAAGTCCTGTAGGACATCAATAACCAAATACAGGAAGAAGGAACAAGTGTAAGACTTGGCAATCATGCACGCAGAGTCAAAAAATCA